AGGCGTTTAACCTGTCGATTTTACCTAACATCAGAAGCCTTTGCCTGTAAAGTGTAAAAATTTTTTTTGTATTTGATCTTGTAACTACAAAATATAGCCGCATCTGATTCTTTTAGCAATTGTACAGTGTAATTCATTGCAGTGTCAGAAGGAAATATCCAAGAATGCTAATTAACTATTTTATTGATTGGATTGTATAAAGGTGCTTGAGCTTCATTTCTTGGAAAAACTTTTCTCTTACCATTATAGCATTTCTGGTAAACTTCACATCTTTTTTTTTTCTTTCAATGTCATGGAATGCATTTTTTTTTTTGTTTGGCCAAGAATGGAGCACACAAGCGCGCGAACCAGTCGCCATTTTTCTTTCCCATGATGATCACAAATGCTACAAATAACCGAACGACAGATTCAATACAAGAAGGGACTGAGTGAACAGACTTCCTTTGGTCGAGCCAACTTTTCCACCATGACCCGGCCCAGTTATGGGTAGCTTGGGCTTGTGGGGACTTTTAACGGTCCTTGGGTATATTCTCATGCCGGTGTGTTTACGTGTATTCAATTGAAATTTCTAATTTTTTTTTTTAAATTTTAGAAATCTTGGTGTATTTAATTTAGAATTTTGAAAAAAAGTCTAGGGTGTATTCAATTGAAACTTTTAATGTTTTTTTTAAAAATTTTAGAAATCTTGGTGTATTTAATTTAGAATTTTGAAGAGTCTAGGGTATTCATTTGGGATTTTAAAAAGTTTTACAAAATCTTGTGGTATTTAACTTACTTGATATTAGGATTTGTTAAGACTTTTTTAAAATTTGCTGGGATTTCTAAAGGAAAAATCTTATACAAATTCTCACTCAAAATTTCACCTCATAGGACTAGTCGACCTTGTGCATTTGCACAAATATAAATAAAACATTATAAGTTATTTATATACATATAATATTAAAATTATAAGTTATATAATGCTATTAAATGTTAAACATGGGTATTATAACTTATATTTATGTATATAATATTAAAATTATAAGTAAGATAATGGTATTATGATTTAAATTTGATCATTGATTAAAATAAATAGTATGTAACTATTTGATTGCATATGATTCACTATATTGATTGCATAAAATGTAATAAATAATGTAATATTTGTAATTTTGAGAGATTATGACGAATTAATTTGCTGAAAAATATTAAATTTATTATAACAATTGCTTATGCGATTTTAAGGAGTTTTACTATGACATAAAACAAATTAATTTATTTGAAAAAACAATCGCTTAATCAGATAAAAAAATATAATATTGGTTTTAGAATAAATAATTTGAACAAAAAGTTTTACAATAGAATCTTTTATGTTTATGTAACATTCATATATGATTTAGTGTAAAATATAATTATTCATTCTAATAGTAACTATTATATGATACAAAAAAAATATAATTATTATTCAATTAATATAAAATGTAACGATTTTTGTCTTAATTAACAGAATCAGGTTTTGGAAAGTTATGTGACATGTAGGTATAATTTATGTGGTAAAATTTATGAGATTTTATTTAATGGATTTCTAGCAGTTATAT